CATTGTACCTGTTGAGAATTTTGTAGACTGCTTCTTGGATGAAATAAATTAACATGTAGAAATTATGTGTATATGGATGACTAAAACAACAGATAAGGGTAGCATTACTTACAAATGATTTACTGGTTCCATGTCCGCTTCAAATGAAAAATTTAGTGTCTTTTTCACTTTTGCTGCACTTGCAGAAGTAACAGCAGGAGATAGTATTCTCTTCCGTTTGCATGATGAATGGACCTGAAATGAAAACAAATGGACAAGAGTAAGTGTTTGCAGAGGGCTTTTATTGATAAATTTAATGGTTTGGGCCTCAGAATGTTACTAACTTTGCTTCTTGAGGAGTGGAAGCACTCCTTGGCAGACAAGTGGTAATTGTTTATGTGACAGCCATATCCTGAACCATGGAAAGAGGTAATTAAATTACTTATTAAAAAACGCAGTTAATAAGCCTTGCAGTAAACCTCTCTATGTGTACCTCCTGTGTCAGATTTAAGAAGTCAATTGAGACGTGCTCTACATCACACACAAGCGGAGAGCTCATTTCCATTTGCTAATACATGACTAAGAATGATTAATTTTTCATAGCCTCACTTGATTGCACAGATTGAGAGGAGACTGTTATCACCTGAAAAAAGGGAGAAATAGAGGAGGCAAATAAGCAAATAATTTGAGTTAAAAATGGTATAATCAAAGTCATACACACCTTAGAATCACTCGTGAGGCAGAATGAGCCATTTGAACGTTTCAACAAACACATGCTTTGCCCAGAAAACAAACATTCTCCAATGTGAAGCACGCATCCTACATATTCATACCTCCATCCACAGGGTAGAAGTGATTCCTCTGAAAGGGACAACTTCTCATCAAAGCGTTTTCCTTCCCCAGAGAATCTGCACAGAAACTTTTCACAGAAACCCTACACCAAGGCTACCTGTATTCTAGTATAAGTTCTAACAATGTTGTATCACACCTCATGAGTTTTACACAAATCAGTGACGGAGCAGTCTGCATTTTGTTGCTGGCAATACATCCAGTAGACTTTTCGCAAAACTTGCACCACTTTTCCATTCTTCCTGTTTCCATGAGAAACGAGCGCGTGGCACTTGCAGCACTGTCCATTTCTCTGATAGGTACATCAATAAACACATTAGAAGCTGTGACTTGTGAGGGCTGGTTTACACTCGATTCATTTTCCTGAAAGGAAAACACATATACTGTAAAGGAAAAACAGAAAAGCTTGTATCTCGAAGACATGTACTGACCTTGTGTCTCTAAACGTCCATCAAACAGTTTAATGAAAGGAGCGCCTTAATACTCTCCACCATACCTAGAAAGAAATACACAATTACAAGAGTTCAAAAGATTCTAACGTAAATGGGTATTACAGACACACTTACCTTAAACAATGTTCATGACTGAGCTGGCATATAATTTTGATAAAGTAACTGCTTGAGTCACTACCAAGCCCAGTGAAAAATAGATGATGAAAATCTGATGGCAGATATATATTTTAGGAATTGCCTGTTAAGTTCAGGAACAAGAAGCCCATTAAAAATTTAGAGGAAAAACAAACCTTCGTGTACTTGCACCACTTTATCTGCAGCTCTCATGACATCACATATTTCTTGTAGAAAAACTTGTGAGGCTCTCTGGCTGCTCAAGCTTGTGACACTGCAAATCAGCCACAAATTTTGATGTATGCAACAGTAACTATGGTAAAGAGGAAAAAATTAGTGATGTGGGTAAGTACTCTAAGCACTTAAAAAAAAAATCATTGACTTTAAAACTACCAATGTGTAAACGTATACCTGAAGACAAGCACTCAGAGACCCACTTTTCTAAGTATTTGCAAGACCAACATATGGGATTGGTTGTGGCACTGTTTCCAAATCCGAACGCTGCAAAAGAAAAACATATATGAACAAGTTGACCCATAAGAAAAATTATTTCCTTTAGAATGAGTGACAGTCTCACCTGCGACATGATGCGCAGCCCATTATCTACTTGTCCACTCGCATACACACGCACTGCTGGAAATATTATAAACAAATGTTGAAACATAGGTAAGGGCAGCCTTCCATACAACATGAACGGTAAGGAAAATGTGTGAATGAGAATGGTTTCCAGGATATGCGACAATAGGTCTGATATTAATGGCAGAGCACCAAAAACAAAGTAGCATCAAGCACAGGAAAACATTTACCCAGTGAGAAATGAGTGTTCGAATCGACCTCGAATCGACGTCGACTGTTTGAGAGGTTATCGTTGGTCCTGGGACGAAGTTGTCGACGAAATTTCGATGTTACTCGAGAAGTGCCCTATGACACGGCTTAACTCAGCCAATGTGTCTTAAAGTGTTACAGAACGGTTCCCGGTACTAAATTGCAAGAAATTTCGCATGGTACAAGATCGATGTCGATTCGACGTCGATTTGAGACAGGGTCTTCCCCTGACTGTACTGTTAGCTCTCGCTGGTGACCCGCAACGCCGAAACAAGTATAGTCTGGAGACGTGTTCGTTCGAGCGCGGGAGGTGTCCATCACGGACTTCATCTCGTGCAGTTATTTTTGAACGTGATGGCGACGCGGGTGTCTACGGACTCCAACAGTCGCTATTGGACTTAGCTCAACCGTTGAAATCCGTCCCTTTAGTCCCCTTTCGATAAAGTATCGAAATAGTCGATGTCGAAAAAACGTCGATTTGCGGGACAAAATCCCGTCGATTCGACATTTGGAATCGACAATTTTTCGACCTGCCTAATCGACGTCGATTCGAGGTCGATTCGAACACTCATTTCTCACTGGGTTACTCTTTTAAATAAACAGTTGAGATGTGACGCAGTCTCAAATAAAAGCTGACATGACATATAAACAGCGTTTGGAATAAATGGGACACGTAAACAACATGAGAGCGGAGGTAAGGCGTGCAATGGGGTGTTTAAAAAAAAAATACCAGTCGCCGAGTTTTAGGTGCGTCTAGGTCGTCTGATTCCAACGCCGTCCCCCCCGTTGTCCTACGACATCGTTTACCCTCTGCGCAACGCATTTGAAACTTTCAGCCGCGTCAAGGGCCCCCACCTCCTCGCCCCTTCTCGCGCCACTGTAACGCCGCGGGTACTAGTGGGTTGAGCGATTAGCGAAGCCTATGACTCCGTCTGGTCGGAAAAAACTTTTTCTGTCTATCTGTCCGTCTGTGTGTGTGTCTGTCCGCAATATAACTCGAGAACGAATTGAGCGAGCGACCTGGGATTTTCAGGGTCGTTTCCTACCGAGGGGGAAATCACCTGCGAAATGGTTCGTACACCTTCCCCCGAAATGGACCGAAATAAAGGCGAAATAGAGGCGAAATAGAGTGAAATAAAGACGAAATAAACGCGAAATAGTCGGTGAAATAGTCGCGAAATACCCCTGAAATACTCCGAAATAGCGCGAAATAG